CATGGAACTGAAAATGATTTAGAGATTCAGAATGATGTCAATCCAGATAATTCAAGGAGCTTGGAGTTAAATATTGTTGACAATCTTGGTGTTGGTCCTGGTACTAGTAGTAGCACTAATGTTTCTAATATCGGTGCTGGTACTAGTAGTAGCACTAATGTTCCTTTAGATGGTAATGATTTTGATGACTGTTTTATGAATAATGAGGGAGACAAAGGCAATGAGGGTTGTTTAGTTTACATGACACACCTACAAACTGTTTGTTTTAAGTGTGTTAACTTTTAGTTATTAAAATACTATGGACATGTATGTTTTTTTATTTGAATTATGTATTTTAAGATATTTGGATATTTGTATTGTTTATTTTACTTTTATTTGAATTTTGTATTTTAAGATGTTTGGATATTTGTATTGTTTAAAATATTTTACTTGTGATTTTACGATTTTAGTTAAAATATTTTACTTGCGATTTTATGATTTTTATTTAAAAAATATTACTTCCGATTTTACGATTTTACGATTCGAGTTTACGAGTCGAGTTTATATTGTATGTTCCGTGTCGTGTTAAAAAAAGCGTTTTTAACAACCTTGCTCATCGTAACAACTTGCATCTTTTCATTGTATTTTTTTTTAGATTAATATGGGTGTTTGAACTAGCTTACGCACATCACAACTAATTTCACGGGCTCTGAAGTTAACGACCATGTAAATCTCCAATAGTCATCATATGAGCAATCAATGATTCAAACCTGAAACCACTGAGAGAACAAACCCCTTAGTTCCAAGTTCTTACCACTTGATTAGTACTTAAATGGTTTTCATTGCATTTTGATATGATGTTGAATGGTCGATGACCTCATTTTTTTTAATTTTTCTAGCTTTGTCATTGCTTGAGCCATCGATGAACGCCTCCAATTATAGCCAAATCTTCGATTAATAAAATTATATACCTCCCAGCCCGAAGAAGTCCTTTTTTTGTGTGTAATTTGTTTTATTTATTTATTTATTATTATTTTATTTATTAGTTAATTTTTTATCAATTATTTTTTTAACATTTAATTATAATTTATTTTGTTTTGTTTTTTCATAAAATCTCCAAGCTATCTTGTTGATGCTTGATTATGTGATGTCTTTTTTATTTTTTTCTTAGTTATCCAATATAGTTTTAAATTTATTAAATTTATCAGATTATATTAAACACTCTTATTATTTTTTTACATTGAAAAATTGATACCATCCTTATTATAACAAACACCAACGATATAGTTGTTTCTATAATTTTATATTGTTGTATTTATTTTTATATTTTAAAAATATTTTAAAAATTTTAATTTTTAATTTTTTATCTGTTTTAAAATAATATTTTTTTATATTTTCAAATCATCTTAATATTCTGATATTAAAAATAATATTTTTAAACAATAAAAAATAATATTTTAATATATTTTTAAATAAAAAATACTTTAAAAAATAATAATATCAACACTTCCAACCTACACTTCCAAATAGATTCATAATCTTAGATGCAAAAGCTTGCTTTTATGTGATGCATGGAATCGCCATTACTAAATTTTATCACAGTAGACTTTAACAGTTGACGTACCTCTCTTAATTAAATTGGACTTTCGTATTCTTATTTTTCTTTTCATACGTTATTTACAATGTCTTGCATAATAATAATTCTATCAGATTTCATTTCTTGAATCCATCGCATTGCACTGAAAAAGTAAACATTAATACTAGAACACAATGAATAATCCTCGTAACAGCATCTTTTTATTATATTTTTTTATTTATTTACGTGAGGTGTCTGGGTCAGCTTACACACACTATGACTAATCCCCACAGCCCATTGAATACCCTGTAAACCCAGTAGACATGTAAGACACCACAAGGATAATAGGCGTGCACGCCAAAACTCGAACTCAGGTGCAGTGAAAGGAGACAAGTCCTTCCACCCCTTTCATTGTATTTTGATATGATGTTGAATGGTTGATGACCTCGCTTTTTTTATTTTTCTAGCTTCGCCGTTGCTTGAGCCATCCCTGAACGCCTCTAATTATAGTCAAATCTTCAAGCGCCCCTAAATACAAGGTTCTAAGAAATGCAATAATTGTTATTTTTAAAGATAGGTATTTTTTTAAAAAAGAATACAATAAAATATATTTTTTATTTTCTAAAATTTATTTTCATTGTAACATATTTGAACTATAAAAAACATCAAAGAAATATCTTAAAGAAAAAAATACAAATTTTCATAAAAAAAGATTAAACCATATATTCAAATATATCATGTAGTCTTTTGACCTCTAACAACTTGGATGCTTTCCTAACCATTTAGCATCTCAAAGATGGTCTTAGCTTGACCTTACCCTAATATAACTCGAGCTTGATTACGAGACATAATATTTGATCCGTGAAGACCTCAAACTTATCCCAACTTAATCTTTAAATATCTTGCTTCCATCATAGTACGATAAGTTGTTCACTCAAGCCATTGCGAGTTCAACTCGAGCTCGATCTAACTTACCGGTATTATAGGTCTATTCTCGATCCAAGCCCTAAATGTTTTGAGTCTAAATCTAATCTTTACTTTGTTGTGGACTTGATTTTAATGAAATGACTATTTTGAATTCGACTTGGCCTCAATTATACTGTGATGATTTAAAAATTCTTTTTTATTTGGTAAAGGATTTATTGAGAGAATCAATTGCTAGTTATTTATTTATTGGAAATGTAATGACCAAAGTAAACAAGTTTTTATATCTCACCTTGGGAACTAAAAAAGAAAATAAAAACGAAAATGATATTAAACAATATGAAAATTTGCTTATAACCAACCCCAACTGCCCGCTCGAGACCGGCCCTTCATGTCAACGTTAAATGCAATAAATAAATAAAAGGAAACCCTAGGCATTGAATGTCACAATTCACATAGGAACTAGGTTAAGCCACAATCAAATGGGCTTTGCTTCTTTCTAGAAAATCGAAGAGAAAAGATCATTTGCTAATAAAAGAAAAGATCTTGAACCCATCACCGAACGAGGAAAAATGGTAAGATTTCTCGTTTGTTGTTTCTTAACGAAAACAAAAATGGTAATGACAAAAAAAAACGAAAAAACGAGAGATATTTTAACTCAACTTACCTGTACTTTCCCTCTTTAACTTACTTTTCAATTTTAATTAATAATGCCTAAAATAAATAAATAAATAAATAAAAAGGGCCTAAAAACAGAATCTAAAGTGTGTCTTGGGCGTTTCAATTGAAGTATTTTAAAATTTTAATATTTTTTAAATTATTTTAACATGCTAATATTAAAAAAAAATTTCAAAATTATTATATATATATATATATTTAAAAATTTTTCAAAATTATTATATATATATATATTTAAAAACAAATATTTGTAAAACCAACCATTTAAATCCTGTTTTGGGATACGATGAAGAAGAGCAAAAACCAAACATCATTATCTTTATTTCCCCGACTACCAACTTCCCTCCATCGGTCGGTTATCACTTGGTCAATTGCCCACATCTTGAGGACGTGACAAAATAATATTTTGTTTTTTTCCTTTTCTTTTCTTTCTTTTTTCTCCTTTTCTTTGTAGGTTTCGCAAACCCAATAAAAGATTTTTTTTTTAATATATATAAATATCTTACAGTATTTATAATCAACTCCTGTGGTGGTGATATTCGATACTCAATTCACTCCAACATTAGAACAAAACCCTAAGGGTTCTTGTAAGAACCAATCGCCGCCGGATTGATCTTCTCCTTTAATAGAAGTAGAAAACCCTTTTCCTCTCTTGTTTCTTGAAGAAAAATTTCTTTTCTTTCGTTATCTCTCTTTCACATACAATTTTTTTGGATGTAAACATGGTGCGCAAAGTTGTGTGATTTGTTTCTTGAAATTGATTTGCACGACAGGAGAGGAAAAACCCATCCTTCTATGTTGCTGTTTTATGCTTGAAAATGGAACCTTTTTGCAGCTAGGATTGGGTAATTGTATTCATCCATAAGGTAGGTGTAAAAGTTTTGATCTTTTTTCTAGTTAAAAAGTTACCATCTTCAAGCTGTAAGTAGTGTCTTGGCTATTTCAAGCGTATGCAAGCTTTTATTTTCGAGACTATTTAGGGTATGATTATAAGTTGTGGGTGTTGATCAGTTTTTGAGTTGTTATAGTGGGTAATGGTCAAATTGGAGTCTTGAATATGTTATCTGAACTGGGCAGGAGACCGATGATAGGAGCTAATGATGGATCATTCGGTGATGATTTAGAGAAGGAGTTAGGGTTATTGTTGCGTGAGCAACGTAGGCAAGAGGCTGATGATCGTGAGAAAGAGCTCAATTTGTACAGGAGTGGCTCTGCACCTCCAACCGTGGAGGGTTCATTGAATGCAGTCGGGGGCTTGTTTGGTGGTGGAGGCCATGGTGGCGCCTCTTTCTCTGACTTTGCTAGCGGAAAAAATGGGAATGGGTTCATAACCGAGAAGGAGCTTAGGTCTGATCCAGCTTACTTATCTTACTACTATTCGAATGTGAATTTGAACCCAAGGCTTCCGCCTCCTTTGCTGTCGAAGGAGGATTGGAGGTCAGCACAGAGATTGAAGGGTGGGAGTTCTGCTTTAGGCGGGATTGGAGATAGGAGGAAAGCTAGTGGAGCTGACAATGGTAATGGTAGATCAATGTTTTCAATGCCACCGGGGTTTGAATCGAGGAAACAGGACGGTGAGGTTGAATCAGAGAACGTTTCTGGCTCCACCGAATGGGGAGGTGGTGGGCTGACTGGTTTACCAGGATTTGGATTTGCCAGCAAACAGAAGAGCCTTGCTGAATTCTTTCAGGTTAATTTCTATGATTTTGCTTAAGTCATGTTTCCTTTTGTTTGTGAATTTCTACATTTTTGCGTGGTATCTTCTTTTTATCTTCATGGCATCAAGAATATCATTGGATTATTTCCTTGAAATTTCAGATGTGGTATTCATTACTTCCTATTAAGGTTTGACACGTAATCTGATTTGTGCATGGAAGAAATAAAGAAGTGTTTTGCTGTCCTTTTCTGATTGCCTACTTTTAATGTTATTGAAAATCAGTTTTTTTTTTCTTGGGCTATTTTATCCGTGTTTGTTGAGTTCTCTATGGCATGCAATCATTTTGCATTCAGTTTGTTAGTGTGCAAGTATGGTATACGTGATGTATCAAGAATATGGCCATGACAAATTGATACGATAAATAGTTATTTTTATGCTCAAATACTTGCGAAGTAGTGAATGAACTGCTCAGTATGTTTAACTTGTTAAGTCTGAGGAGCTGTTGGTTGTAATGTGGGATTTAGTTATGTCTGTGAATGTTCAGAGGCCATTATGAGGCCTATGCAAGACATGTACTTTGAACTTGAGCTTTGGATTGTGATTGAGTTTCAAGTGCATCATATATGGCCTAAAAGTTGCCTCCTTTGGATTGTTCACTCCACTATTATTCTTATGATCTGGTGTCTTGTATCCATGCAGGATGACTTGGGCCGTACAACTCTTTTGACAGGCCCCCCATCTCGCCCAGCTAGCTGTAATGCATTTAATGAAAATGTTGAGACC